GTTTAGATATAACCTTAGATAGGCCTGGAACATGTAGCAGGAATAGGACGGGACCAAAGCAATTGCCTTGGGGAACACCAGTCGGCACGTCAAAAGCAATGATCGATAACAACCACCAAATCAGTGATAACAACACGCTGTTTTCTATCATAGAGAAAGGACATGAACCATTTCTTAGCATTATGCTGATTATGAAATTATGGCAGAAAACCATGGCAGAAACTACGGCAAGAAACCATAGCTGGAAATTATGCCAGAAAACCATGGCAAGAAACCATGGTGCATGGCAGAAACCATGGCAAGAAACCATGGCAAGAAAATTATGCCAGAAAACCATGGCAAGAAACCATGGCTGGAAATCATGGCAGAAAACCATGGCAAGAAACCATAGCTGGAAATTATGCCAGAAAACCATGGCAAGAAACCATGGTGCATGGCAGAAACCATGGCAAGAAACCATGGCAAGAAAATTATGCCAGAAAACCATGGCAAGAAACCATGGCTGGAAATCATGGCAGAAAACCATGGCAAGAAACCATAGCTGGAAATTATGCCAGAAAACCATGGCAAGAAACCATGGTGCATGGCAGAAACCATGGCAAGAAACCATGGCAAGAAAATTATGCCAGAAAACCATGGCAAGAAACCATGGCTGGAAATCATGGCAGAAAACCATGGCAAGAAACCATAGCTGGAAATTATGCCAGAAAACCATGGCAAGAAACCATGGTGCATGGCAGAAACCATGGCAAGAAACCATGGCAAGAAAATTATGCCAGAAAACCATGGCAAGAAACCATGGCTGGAAATCATGGCAGAAAACCATGGCAAGAAACCATAGCTGGAAATTATGCCAGAAAACCATGGCAAGAAACCATGGTGCATGGCAGAAACCATGGCAAGAAACCATGGCAAGAAAATTATGCCAGAAAACCATGGCAAGAAACCATGGCTGGAAATCATGGCAGAAAACCATGGCAAGAAACCATAGCTGGAAATTATGCCAGAAAACCATGGCAAGAAACCATGGCTGGAAATCATGGCAAGAAACCATGGCAAGAAAATTATGCCAGAAAACCATGGCAAGAAACCATGGCTGGAAATCATGGCAGGAAACCATGGCAAGAAAACATGGCAAGAAAATTATGGCAGGAAATCATGGCAGGAAACCTTGCCAGGAAACTATGTCAAGAAGCCAAGGCAAGAAGCCATGGCAGGAAGCCATGGCAAGAAACCACTGGAAAAAACCATGGCAGGAAATCATGGCAGGGAACCATGCCAAGAAACCAAGGCAAAAAATCTTTTCAAGAAGCCATGGCAGAAAACTGTGCCAAGAAACCAAGGTAAGAAACTATGCCAAGAAGCCATGGCAAGAAACCATGCCAATGTACCTTTAGTATACAAAACTTCACTATTGTAACCATTTCATAAATGTAAATAAATAAATAAATGAATAAAAAAATTAAAAAATAAATAAATGTCTTTATTTTCTATTAGTAAAAATGAAGCAATCTGATTGGATTTGGCTTTCACAGCAGGCCGGGTTTTTGCATTTGGCCTGCTCTGAAACGCAACTGCCCGCTGTGAAATGCAACTGCCCGCTCTGGTTTGTGCGCCAAAAATGAAGCAATTTTAAACTAAAAAATCTGCCCAAAAAGTTTGAAAAAC